GTGGTGCCGGGACAGACCAGGGAAGGCGGTGGTGGTTTCATCTGGGCATCCGGGATATAGATCTTCGGGTCCGGGATTTCGATATAGATCGTCGGGTCCGGGATTTCGATCTCCGGGATGCTCACCTGAGTCTCAGCTGTATGATGAGGTGTAGATGCAAAGCTTCAGTGACGAGTTGCTCGCTGCTTCTTTGCCGGGCGTGTGCTTTCATCTGTTTCCTTGGTATGAAGCGTCAGAGAGCTAAGCTGCGGTCAGGTCCACTTGGTCTGAGGTTTGGGGTGGTCGGACTACAGCGACTACAGCTTCTGGTATCAGGAACTTCTGCCTGAGTGCAGAGATCAAAGATGTAATGCCTGCGCTGCAAGCAAGCTCTCGGCTGCTTCCCGAGACCCGTCCGCCACTTGTGGATGGGGTGTCTTGAACCAGGTCCCCAAACTCCGAACCCGACTAGCAACCCTGTTTCAGCGTGGGCTTGGATTGTGGAAGCGAACACTCCTCAACAGCAGGGCCTTCTCGTAAACCCCAAGCGACGGCTCTGAAAATCTGACCAGCAACCCATTAGAGCCCAGATCTCTTGGACTTCGCTGGCAGCACTCCTGGCAAAAAATGGCATGATTCGCCCTGACCTGACGAAACAATATCAAAACCCTGAAACCCTAATTCCCCACACCGCAACGGATCCCAACAAACCCCTAAAAACGCTAAACCCCCAAACCCTTTTGCAGAGGGCTTGCCTTGTGGACCCCAAAAATCCTAAACCCTTTTTCACAAGGGACTCGCCCGCTGCCCTTATCCTAGCCCCTGAAAACCCCAAAATCCCTGTCTTGTTGGAGGAGGGGGGCTGCCGTGCACAAGCCCTCATGCTCTCCTCTCCTCGAAGCTTCGGCAGCATCCCCCGAAAAATCCCGAAAACCCAGACTGCCTGAACCCTAGACGTCCTAAAACCCTAAGCCCTGCTTAAACCCGAAAACCCCGGGTTTAGGGTTTAGGGTTTAGGCTCCCCAAGCTCCTCCAGGTCTCGGAAAGGCCGGAGGAAGGCCCGCTCGTAGGGCATCGGCCCAAATCCTGCACTGAGAATCTCTTTGAGGGGTTTAGGGTTTAGGGTTTCGGGTTTTCAAGTTCAGGGCGTATCTTCTCCCTCTCGCATGGAACGCTGAGAAAAGGCTTAGCCCGGCCTGTGTCCAAAGCGACGTGGACTCGGTTCTCGCCAGGGATGCACTGAGAAGTCCCCTGAGCACTGTGATTGACATCCTGGCATGACAGCCAATATTGACCTTCAAATGAAGACCGGTTGAGATACTCGAACTCCACATGGTAGCCCAGCTTCTCGGAAATCAAGATGCCGGCAATGTGCGACATCACTTTGGAAGAGGAGCGGAGGTAAACGAAGAGGCCTATGGGGAGATCCTTCCCGTGCTCGTCCTGTATATATGCACGGCTTGCTTTCGTTGGCGATGCCTAACGCCAGGCACAAGTCAGAAGTGGCCGGCACCGGCAAGAGCAGGACCAGTGCCACGCAGAGCAAACCCGCCATCGCATTGGCACGCGAGGCCACCCGGATGTCTTCCCACGACTGTCTTGGTTGCGTCACCAAGATTTCAATAGTTTGACTTGATTTCAGCTGCGACCGAGCTTTGGCCCGGTTGTGGAAAGCTGCGGAACATGCGTCTCAATGCACTTAAACGGCTTTGGGGCTTAGGGTGCCTGCCACAGATTAAGTAGGGATACGAAGCGGCAGCTGGAGTCCTGTTGCAGACCCAGAATCTGATCGTACAGTTTCTGATAGCGAACGTGTATTGCCTGCAGAAAAAAAGCACCGCAGGAAGCACTGTGGCACTGCAGTCAAGGACATCCGTGTGCATCATAGACACTGTAGTGCTATCTTCCCTCAAGCCGTCGTGCGCCAGGAGCTTCATGGCCGAGGAGATGGATCTGGAGCAGGCCACAGAAGCACGGCAGCAGCTACAGGAGGTGCTCGGAACAGCGGCACCCTCGAGCTTTGGTGGGGCGGCCGAAAAATGGGCGGGAGGAGGAGGAGAAGGAGCCGGAGAATAAGCCCAAGTACCAGAAGCCCCAGCACCAAGGGGGTGGGAAGGGCTGGAAAGCCAACTCGGCCAATCCAAGCCGGAGCTGGTGGAGCGACAGTCCCGCTTCAGCAGCGAGGATCCGTGAGCGGAGGCGGCCAAGACGGATGGCAAGCTGCCAGACGTGGCGACGCAGCATATCCTGAAGACTTTGGTCAAGATGGTGACCAGGCACGAGGAAGAGCTGGCCCGGATCCGCATCGACACGAACTTCATGCTGTTCGTGGATGTCATCCCACACGGGGTCTACGAGCTCCCGAAGTTGACGGCAGAAAAGTGGCACGAGAAGTTCACGGCCAAGAAGGTCACGATGAGCCTCCGCGTCATCTTGCTGTTGGCGCTGTTGGGGGAGATTCAACAGCGCATGGAGCAGACGGTGGACTCGGAGGAGCAGCTGGAACGCTGCATGTCCATTGGGTGGATGGGGGAAGGAGCTACGAAGCTGAATTCGGTCTACCGGTAGTACCGGTGGAACCCGGAAACTCGCACCCAGGAGCACTGCGAGACACCCCCGCTCACACACACAGCGGCGCTCACCCACGTGCAGACGCTCCAAGACATGATCGCCATAGCGACTGTCCTGACGAGGTTTCGGTGTCCGATGTCGAAGGACCCGGGCCAGAAGCAGCCGCTGATGAAGGATCTGGAGCAGGCCTACTTGGGGGTCCCCTACACGGACTGGGCCCAGCACGAAACCAGCTGGAACCGCTCCTGCGCCTCCGACGAGAAGCCCGAGGAGGACAAGTAGGCGGGGACCGGACCATACCGGGAAATAGTGGTAATGTCCGCTACCTGAACTCTGTTGCCACGGCACTTGCGTGGCTGGGCACCTGCTCACACAAGCCTAAGCAGCGCTATGGAAGGGCAGCCGTTGCCCTGCAAAAAGCCCTGACCTCAGGGAAACATGTGCTGCCGGGTAGTCTGCCCTGGATGCCGATAATCAACTCGCCTGAATTGCATCGTCAGCAGGATGCGGGATCTTTCTGTGCACATCTGCTGGCATATGCAGCCGGGCACGGTTTTTTTCGACCCCTGAAGGTAATGCTTTCATGCCTTTCCCGTGGCGGGAATTTTTTCGGGCCTCGTCGGTCTGCTTGGGG